CGCAACTCCTCATAAACCGCTGCACAGAATTTCGTCAAACTTTGCAGGTATTTAGGACACAATATGTAGATGTGCATTTTACCAGGAAATTCCGATTCCTTTATTTTTTTCTGGGAATTTCCGCCCTTTTTAACTTAGGCATTTGGCCATACCTTGAATATAGAGATGAACAGTTTGTCAGCGCAACTCCTCATAAACCGCTGCACAGAATTTCGTCAAACTTTGCAGGTGTTTAGGACACAATATTTAGATGTGCATTTCACCAGGAAATACCGATTCCATTATTTTTCCGGGAATTTCCACACTTTCCAACTTAGACTTTTTGGCTATATTCAAAATATAGAGATGAACAGTTTGTCAGCACCACTCCTCTTAAACTGTTGTACATAGTTTATTTTATCCCAAAGAGTTTTGCCTGTTATTCCAGAAAATTTCTCTCTCCCCCCAACCACTTCAAATTAATGTTTGGATTTGCATAATGCCAAGAAATTTTGATTCAATTATTTATCTAGAAACTTCATTCCACATTTAAATGTCCTCATATGTAAGACATTTTGATGTGAAGATTTTTTTGCAATTATTGCCCTTTTTGATCTATACTATGTATTTAAAGTGCAATGTGCCTTTCATTATGTGCTTCACCGTCAAGTTTTGGGGGAGCGTGGGGTATGTGAGCTAGCTCACTTTTTCTTTCATTTTCAATTCTGTAAACGGTTGAAACAGACTGTAGCAATTGTACTCAAAATTTACAAAAGAACCACTGTCACAATAATACAAAAATTACAAATAATTCAAATATTTATATTTCGTTTATTAAATACATAATTTCAAAAAAAAAATCAACAAGTTTATGAAAAAATATCTTGACAAATACAAATCAATATGACGGTCTGATGGGTGGGCTCCTTTGTCTGGTTGAGCGTCTGAGTGACGCTGACATGAATGGGGGAGGTGTGGGGGCTCGCACGAGTACTTCATGGCCGCTTCTCTTTACACAAACCGTTAGAATGATCACTAAAAAAAAGTTAATCACACTTGAAATCCCGTATGAGAACTGCATCGAATTCTGTTAGGGATTGAGATTCGAGATCCACCCGTCTCCTCTGGCACCTTCTTTTAACCATACAAACGATCATCCCCATGAATATAAGTATCACTACACCCGTCCCTCCAAGGATGACATATATCCAAGGTGTGTCTAAATAAACAAAGGGTGGCTTTAGAAACAAATTTTATGTAAAAGTAATTTAAATAATTCTTTATACTATTTAATAAAATTTATTTATTTTTCAATTCAAAACTTACTGAAGGTAAAAGCTGCCAATTGAACAGTTCTTAGGGTGGTCATTGCTACGTCTTTGGGTTGAAAAAAGAGATAGAAACATAAATTTCAATTTTAATTTACTTTTTTTTTTAAATTTTTTAAAAATAACATCAATTAAATTGAAAATTCTTAACGATATATTTCCCTTACAAGTTTTTTTTTGAGAATTAAAATTATTGTTTTTTTATGACATAGATAACAAAACTAAATATATATATATATAAAATATAATTACCTGACAAGTGCGGGAGCCTATGCGGAACGTCGTCCAGGGGTTTGCTGATATGTCGTTGCAACTGGCTTGTTGGTCGTGGATGATCAGCCTGGTCAGTGCTGGATAGTCCTCAAGGTGTATCTCTCCTATGGCCCTCTCCAGGATGAGAACGTTGGCCATGACGTAGTTCCCCCTTCAAACTCCCTCCAGTCCCGACACTGCACTACCCCCTCTGTCACCCCGCACCAACTTGTATCACCAGAATAGCTATCAACATGAACATCGTGCCTCTTGAAGTCTTCGAATTTGGAATTAAGATGGCGATTTTTTTTCTTTCATCTCTTATATAATAAATAATGACACATTCCAATTAGGGGTGGAATGGTCATTTAAATTACGAAGTCATGATTGTTTTCCCCCCAAAATAAATTCTAACAGTTGATAACTAAGGGTATAATTGTATTTAGAATAATAGTGGGGAAAAATTGATTATTATGTACAAACATAGTTTTTAAAACTAATAATAGATGTTCAGCATCCCTGATTAGTAAAATGGAACTAGTCCTTGACCAGTGGAAGTGTCCATATTGGTAAAGTTGCCCCAAGGTTAAGAAAAATAATTATTTACAAAGAAAAATGATTAATTAACGATTAAAAATGTCATAAATATTAAAACAATAAATCTTAGTTGTATGTTACTTAAATTATTTGATTCCGTAGAAGGTCAAAGTCAGGTAGTTGAAGAATTCCATTCCTTTGCCCCCCCTTGAGAAAGTCGAGTCACCCAGGCGCTAGCGGCGCCTTTGATGTAACTCGAAGACTGTCCCCTCGCGTAGCAGACCAGCTGCACGATGGGGACATTACGCAATGTGTATATACGTCTGTAGTAAGAATGATTATACACGATTCATAGTTAACACAGCCTTGAATCGAGTTTGCTGAACATTACGACTTTATTCTAGTAAAAGTATTACGTTTTATTTATTTAAAAAATACTAAATCGTGAGATTTTATATAGATTAACACTGATTTTACTGAAGAAAAGTATTCTTATTACGTTTTTTTTTAAAAAAAAAGATGGTTTTAGTGTTGGATTTTTAGTAGCCCTTAAACCTCAATTGTATTCCAAGACTTAATTCTTTAATGCGAATATACAAACATCGAGAGATAACACAGTTAAAGAAAAGATTAATTAATTATAGGGTTTTTTTTTCTTTGATCCCCTCCCCCTTCCCATTATGTATGATCAAACGCGAGTTAAAAATAAACATATTAGACACCTCCAATGGCCAAGGAGAAGTAAAAAATATTATATTTATATAAATATAGTGTATATAAATATAGTGTAATAAATATACTCTTAAAAAGGAAAAGGTAGAATGACCCCCCCCCCCAATTGCTTTACTGAAATTTAAATTGAAGCAGCGTCTGAAAGAGATAGAAAAAAAAAATAACAACAAAATTTAAAAAAGGGAAACATCTATTTCACGCTTCTGTACACTAATTAACAATCATAATAATTTACCAGGTGTTGTTGTGCTCCTGCAGAGAGGACAGCCAAGGGACTTCTTTAGTCGCCGAAAACATGGCATGCAACACGCTATTTTCTTGCAAGTGTAGCATATATAGGACACATTTCGCTCCTCACAGCAAAGTCTGCATTCAAAATAGGTTATCGGAAATCTTGCATACATGTATCCCCACCTCACCTCTCCAGTTTTGTTGTTCATGATTTTTGAGGGAGGGGGGATTCGTATAGAGTGAGGGTTCAGTACTGGTCGAGTTTTAATAAAAGACTTTTTATAAGAAATCTGTTTAGTTTGTTATTACGCTGATTTACTCAAGTACTACAAGGGTGGTCAGTTTGAGAAGGTGTAATAACATCCTTCTTCTTTGATAAAACACAACAATTCCATTGTAACAAATGATAGTTTTGAGTAGTAAAGGGGGTAGTCTGAGGGCACTTTACGGGCACCCCCTCTTAGGGCCGTCTGAGGGCACCCCCTCTTAGGGCCGTCTGAGGGCACCCCCTGTTAGGGCCGTTTGAGGGCACCCCCTCTTAGGGCCGTCTGCGGGCACCCCCGTCTGAGGGCACTACGCTTAGGGCCGTCTGAGGGCACTACTCCAAAGGCTGTTTAATGACACCACTCTTATATATATAAGTATTCAACAATACATAAACATCTTATTTTTAACCATGGGTGATAGCAACACACAGTACAAGTGGAAAGTTTTAGCATGGAATTGTATCAGAAGAGATGAAAAAAAATGGACACTTTTAGAGAGCAAATGGTTTGATAAAAAAGAAGATTGTATTACTGATTTTAAGCAGAAAATGAGAGAAGGATATGATGTTGCAGATTGCTGGGGAACAAATGAATACCTATTGAAACGTCGGGTTATGCCTAAAAAATACTGTCTGTAATCAGTAATGTAGAGTGTTAAAGATGAACAAAATGCAAAAGAAAGTTCAATTTGACAATCATGTACAAATTATATCAATACCACTTGAAGAACGGAAAGGAATATGGATGCAGTATGCTATAGATAGAGCACATTTTAAAAGGAGAATTGAACACGCCGAAATATTATTGTCAACAATCCTACATTTAAAATTAAACGACATAAAAATGTCTGAGATCAATCTTGGACATCAGAGACAGCTGAGGACCTGAACGATATTGATTTTAGTAAAACGGAAAGTTGTGACGAAAAAAGACCCTAAAGAGAATGACATCATACGAGTTCTCTATATAAATCGGCTTGCAAAGTTTGAGCAAAACCATTTTTATTTAAGATGGCTGAGCAAATGATTGTGATGGAAATTCTAAAAAGTGATAGTGTTAAAGATATGTTAAAAGAGAAATTGAAAAAGAATATTGGAATCATGATACCTAGTTTTATGGTGATTGGACTTTTCATTTCTCTGTGTGCTATTGTCAGTGAAAAAGATATGCATAAAACTTGCTCTTACGTGGATCGGTACCCGCTTTCCAACGACGTATACGCTATGATATGTGACAACGAAACCATACAGATTGACATAAGACGGTTTTATTCCGGAAAACCGGGCGACGAAGGTATTACCTTGACTAAAAAACAGTGGCAATACCTGAAAACATATGTAGATCATATGGACGAATCTATTTTGAAAGCACAAAATCAGTTATAAAGTTTGTAAAGTAACTCAGAAAAAAGGATTGTAGAATGTTTGGCTGGTGTTTTTGTCAGGGTCAATGACGTCATGGGTCCGCATGAGGGCACCCCTTTTAGAGCCGTCTGCAGGCACCACTGTAAGGGCCGTCTGCGGGCATCCCTCGTAGGGCCATCTGAGGGCACCACTCCTAGGACCGTCTACGGTCAACCAACCCACGTGATAATTTGCTATAAAACGTAGTGATTATAAACATTTTTCATCAGATCTAAGCCGATCTTACTAGGCATAACATCGTTTCAACAGACATGGAGCAAAACCAGCAGGATGTTATAAAAAAGAACTATTCGACCCTGGTAAAGAAAATAAGGACCTCCACGGTTGCCAGACATCTTTATGACTCTAACATTATCACAGACGAAATGAAGCAACAAATTGAGACTGAGAAGACCAATTACGATCAGAACAGAAAACTACTCAGCATCATTCTTCGGAGAGGACAGAAGGCCTTTAGGGGTCTCCGAATGGCGCTGATGAAAGCCGGCCAAACAGATTTATCCAAGCTTCTCACTGACAGCGAAGATACCATGTCCGAGTCCGATAAGAAATTAGCTATGGCCAGATCCTTAGCTGTAAACACGGCCAAAAATCAGTATGCTGAAAGCAAACCAAAGAGTGATTCTGTAGCACGACAAATATCTCAAGATGAGCGATGCAGAATCAATCTGGATGGTGAACTTTTCCTCACAGCCGTGTCTTTCAAAGACAGGATCAATATACACATCCGTCAGTTTACAGCAGCCAACAATGGTCTGATACCCACAAAGAAGGGAGTAACATTTCCATTACCCAGATGGTTGAGGTTTGAATCCATTCTTCCAGATATCCAAAATCATCTGCACAACAGAACAGACGAAGAAATGAAATGTCATATAGGAGGGGGAGTGTACGTCTCGATTACTCCCGGATACGGTACAGTAGA